AAAGTCCTATATGAGTAATCTCTTTACATGCATATATATATATATATATATATATATATATATATATAATCAGGTTGGTCTCAAACTCACAGAGATCTATCTGCCTCTGCCTCCTAAGTGGCATTAAAGGTGTGTGCCACCACAGCCAGCTCCTATATGAATAATCTTACAACCACTCTTCAAGCTTCTTATTACCATTTTATATTAGGGGTTTATTTTCACTGGTTTAATTCACACAGCACTGGGAGTCAACCTCAGCCAAGGTTCAAGGAGATTTGCTCCATCTGGCAGCAGGAAGTGACATCGCACAGGTGGTGTTAGTTTTTCAGACAGATGGCAAGAGTTATGGGATCCTGGGGACTTGCACCACTGTTTCAGAAAAATACTCCCTTGAGGCCAAGCAATGTGTAGCAGGCTTTCCTTCTTAGAGCTCCTTAGTGAGCTGGATGTGGGCTATGAATGGAAAATCTAACTTGTAATGGAGACCTCAGGGTATTAGAGAGGCTTGTGATTTCTCTCACTTGCTCCCACAATCATGGAGACACTCCAACATGGTTTCCCTGCTATGATATACATGCTGAGGTCACGAGCCAAAATAAATCTTCCTCCACTAATTTGCTTCTGTCATGTACTTTGTTACAGTAATGTGAAAAAGAACTAATATACTATGATTTTTCTACTTTTAATGCTTGATGTAGCATTTTCAAAGGATAAGTGTATGAAAATAAAGTTAATAGTCAATATTAATAAGGGCATATAAACTATTATATATATATACATATATATACATATATATAACTGAAAGTCTAACAGATATTTGATGAGTTTTCAGTGTATTCTTATAAGTTGATGTTATTGTTCCTATAGAGTTGCATAATTGTTTCCATTTTAGAATAGCACTAAAGGTTTCTTTTAAGTGAAATGGCTATACTGCTTCAGAGTGTCAACTACATGTACATTTGCATTCATCTTTACTAAAACTTCTGCCACCTTCAGTCTGTTTTCCCTGAGAGCAAGCAGTAGTGGTGTGTAGTCATCCTGTAAAACAACAAAAATGAATTCATAATTTGCAAAGACCCAATAAACATGAACATATAAAACAGGTAAGGAATTTGTAGAAGTGAGCTGGAGACAAGCAGGGGATAAGCAATAGTAGACAAATGCCATCTTTTCCCTCTTACCCCACTGTACTTTCACATGTGCTGTACTTTCTCCTGGAAATGTTGCTTCCCTGTCTACAATTGTGACATGAACCCAAATCCTCACCAATGCTCACTTGAGATAGTTATTGGTCCTACGACCCTTTGTTCCCATCTAAACTCAAAGCTTCTTGAATTAGGCCCAATTGCAAACACAATAGCAAAGGCTATCTTTGTTTCAATGAATTACTGAGCTAAATTTTCATTTCAGTGGGGTGTGCTGCAGAATGACCCTACTGTAGAAAGACTCCATGATCATGTGTTTGTGAAATACAAGAACATCATGCATTATGCATCTAGTACTAAATAACTTGTTTAGGTTTTGCTTAATTCTTATTTTTTGGTGCATCTTGAGTCAGTCGTTTGCATTTGAAGAAGTAGGTTGGCAGAGGCTGGCAGATCTTTGTGAGTTCAAAGCGAGTCTGATCTACATAGCGAGTTCTAGGCTCCAGGGAGACCCTGTCTCAAAAAGACAAAATATAAATAAATAAATAAATAAATAATAAATAAATAAATAAATAAAGGAATCTTCCAGGATGGACCAGGACTGGATGTTGCAGGGCTAGGGGCAAAAGCAGCAAAGATGATCTTGAGAAGCAAATGAACAGGACACTAAGATACCCTAAGATGGGGCTGGAGAGATGGTTCAGCTGTTAAGAACACTGACTGTTCTTGCGGAGGACCTGGGTTCAATTCCCAGCACCCACATGGTAGCTACAAACCATCCTTAACTCCAGTTCCAGGGGAATCCGAAGCCCTTTTCTGACCTCCATGGCATTGCACAACACTGGTGCACACACATACATGTAGGCAACATACTCATACACATAAAATAAAAATAATAAATAAAATATTTTTTAAAAGATACCCTAAGATGACAACTGATAAGAATAAAGATGGTGAAATGAGGCATGCTCCGGGCAGCTGGCCTCAGGGCCTGGAGTGCACCAGCTTCTGAGAAGCTGAATGCAGGTGAGGAACTTTGTCACACAAGATAAACATTTTCCTGAGCTTAGGAGCTTTTATATTGATCTCAAAATTCTAATCTCAGGACTGGGCAACTAAGAAACAAAATAACTGGAGAACCAAGATGATGGCAGCATCTCTCAGCATGATGATGGAGGAAGATGTGAAAACAGCAGAAAACAAGAGTCAACCGGATGTGTAACCATAAAAAGGAAAACACTTGGTCCACCTGTCTCCTGGAGGAAAAGCTAAAAGTGGTTTTCTCCAATATTGATGTCCCCCTAGCGAGAAATTCAAGACAGCAAGTAACTGCCTCCTCCGTTCACTACACAGAAGCCAAAATGCTCCTTCTTAAACACAAGCATAGCCATGTGGACAGAGCGATGGAGACAGGAAAACAGTGGGAACCAGTGCAACTGAAATTATGACCCTTCCCGTGAGCCTGGAACTGTGGTTGTCTCCCATGAACCTAAAGCTGTGACCCCCACTCATGAGCTGGAGCTGTGGTTGTCTTGTGAGCTGGAGCTGTGGTCCCCTCTGTGAACCTGGAACTGTGGCCCCATCCTGTGAACTAGAGTGGCAGTCTCCTCCCATGAACCACAGTCCTTGTCCCTTCCAGTCAACTTGATCTGTGATCTTCTTCCATGACCCTGAAGCTGTTTGTCACCAACCCTGAGCCACATTCCTCTAGTGGTAGGCTGATGGTGAAGCAGATTGAAGGATGGTTGACTTTCTGATGTTGGGGGCAGTTTCAATCTTCTCTGAGTGACTGAACTCCCCACAACCTCCTCCCCGCAAGATCCCAGGTTGGGCATAGCACTGGCTTTGCCCCTGTGCTGATTCTAGGGAGCACTGATCTCAAGAATGAGCTTCCCTTTATGGCCACCTATTGTCTTGACTCAGCACAGGTACCAGGCCATGATATTGGACCTTTCCCACTCCCAGAAACCAAGAGTCTTTCCATCGTTTTTTTATTATTCTTCTACAGCCTCAGTGTACCTTCATCTGTGTCCTACAGAAAATGTAAATCACCTAGGTGAACTTCTAAAAATAAAAATAACAGTCTGGAAAGTTAAAATAAAAAAACAAGGCCCCGGGCTGGGGCTCAGATGTACAGCGTTTGATAAGCTCAAAGCCCAGGGTTCAACACCAGTGGGGTGTAAGGATGGGGTCAGAGAAAATAAAACTATTCGAAGTACTGGATGTTTCAGCTCAGCATGTCTAAGGCTCTGGGTTCCACCATAAAAATGAAATAATTTAACTGTAAAGTGTTACCATATGGAGAATACTAGCTAAAATGTACAAAGGAGAACCATTTTCTTCCTTAGGATTTGCTGTAAGTCCACAATTATCTAAAAATGTTTCAATAAAAAAAAAACTAAACCAAAAAATAAATTTAGTTGGAGGAGGGGGGCTATGACCAAAATACAATTGTATGAAACTCTCAAAGACTCAATAAAAATACTTAAATAAAAAGATGACAGGGCTAGAGAGATGGCTTGGTGGTTTAGAGCAATGGCTGCTCTTGCAAAGGACCCAGTCTCAGTTCCCGGCACCCAAATTGCAAATAACCACCATCTGTAACTCTAATTCCAGGGGATCTGATTCCCTCTTCTGACCTCAACAGATATTACACAACATGGGTGTACCTATATACATACAGGCAAAATACTCACACACATAAATTTTAAAAATAATAATTTTTAAAAAAATAATGGATTTCTTAGCTGTTAGCAGGTTCAGTACAAAATGCATTCTCACTGATAATAATCCTGTGACCCTCATAGATACATACTCTTTCTTTTGGAAAGATCAGGTTCTCAATATGTAGCCAAGACTAGCCTGAAGAACATAATTTACCTGCTCTGGCCTCCTAAGTGTTGAGATTACAGGTGCGTGCTACCTAACCTGGATTGCCTTGGATGTTTTTATGTTTACTATGGCTCTATTGTATTATTAGTTAAAGTTACTTTTTATTTTAGGCCAAGTCAGAAATTAAAAGCCAATGATCAGCAAAATTCCAATAGTAATTTATATAATATATATTATATACCTATATAATTTTTAGCATAACATATATCACCAAATCACTTGTACTGTTAAGGGACAATATTGGAAAGAAATAATAAGCAATTTCTGTGATGCAATGTGGCTTCCTGAGCTCTCATTTGTTTATCAACAAACATAAAATTTACATATACAAAGTTTATTTTTAGTAAAGGTGGGTGAATAAAAACTGTTTTGAGGGGCTGGAGAGATGGCTCAGTGGTTAAGAGCACTAGATGCTCTTGCAAATGACACAAATTGGATCCCCAGCACCCACATGGCAGATAGCAAGTGACCATAATTCCAGCTTCAGGAAAATCCAACACCTTCTGACCTCCTCAGGCATCATACCACATGAGTGCACTTACACACACACACACAGGCAATACACTCATTCACAAAAAATAAATATAATAAATAACTGGATTATATGATGGGTTCACTTTTCATTTTTTAAGGGTTCTCCACACTGCTTCCCATAGTAGTTGCACGAGTTTGCATTCCCACCAGCACTGAATGAGTGTTCCTATTTCTCCACATCCTCTCCAGCATTTGCAGTCTTTCATTCTCTTGATCTTTGCCAATCTGACTGGGGTAAGATGAAATTTTAAAGTGGGTTTTATCTGCATTTCTCTAATTACTAAGGATGTTGAGCACTTTTGAAGGTGCTTCTTAGCCACTTTAATTTCTTCGAGAACTCTCTGCTTAGGTCCATTGCCCATCGTTTTATCTGGTCATTTACTTTCTTATTTCTTTCTTTTTTTTAAGTTCTTTGTATATTCTGGATATTAGTCATCTGTCAGATGTGTAGCTGGTGAACATATTCTACTCAGTGGGTTTCCTCTTCCCTTCCTTGGTTGTTTCTTTTGCCGTACAGAAACTTTGTAATTTAATGAGGTCCCACTTACTGATTGTTGACCTTAGTGCCTGAGCAGCTGGTGTCTGATTTAGAAAGTCCTTTCCTAAGCCTATATCTTTGCGGTGCTGCCTATGTTTTCTTCTATAAGTTTATGGATTTCGGGTTTTATATTGAGGTCTTTGATCCATTTGGAGTTGACTTTTGTGCAAGATGAAAGATAGGGGTCAAGTTTCATTCTTCTGCAGGTGGAGATCCAATTTTGCCAGCACCATTTGTTGAAGATGCTATCTTTTCTCCATTGTGTGTTCTGAGCAATTTGTCGAATATCGGGTGGCTGAAATTATATGAACTCATGTTTGGGTCTTCTGTTGTGTTCTATTGATCTGTGTGTCTATTTTTGTGCCACTACCATGCTGTTTTTACTACTATGGCTCTGTAATATAAGCTTAGTTCTGGCATGGTGATGCCCCCAGCATTGTTCTTTTTGCCCAAGATTGTTTTGGCTATCTGGGGTCTTTTATGATTCCAGATGAATTTTAGGGTGATTTTTGTCAGTCTGTGAAGAATGTTGTGGGTATTTTGATTGGGATTGCAGTGAATCTATAAATTGCTTTTAGTAAGTCATTTTCACAATATTGATTCTACTAATCCATGAGCATGGTAGGTCTTTCCATCTCCTAGTGTCTTCCTCTGCCTTTTTCTTTAGAGTTTTGAAATTTTTATTGTAGACAGCTTTAATGTCTTTGGCTAGGTTTATTCCTAAATATTTTCATTTTTTAGGCTGTTGAGAATGGGAGGGTTTCCTTGAGTGCTTTTTCTTATTGCTTATTATTAGTATATAGAAAGGCTACTGATTTTTGTACATTGATTTTGTATCCTGCCACCTTACTGAAAGTATTAATGGTTTTCTAGTGTACTTTTTGGGATCTCTTATGTATAATACCATATCATCTGCAAATAGGGATGTT